CTGTCATGTTGCAAAATTGTATTTTGGCCCATAGTCCATAACTTAAAAGTGAGTCATAAAATATGAGTTTTTGCTGATTTTCAATAGGTTTCAGTGTGGATTGAAGAAGGCCTTTTACAAGTAATGATATTTTTTATCTGTTTTCCACCAACAGAATCTGGACTTAGAGATTACAGCCAAATATGACATTGACATGGAAGAAAGAATGGAGGTTGATGATGAACCTTGTAATTACCTTATAGATGATTTTAATTGGTTTTGATTTGAATGTTTTGATTTTCCTATTTGATATATTACACCTTACCGTATCCAACCAAAAAATTAAAAGCCTTTAGATTAGCATCGATGGGTATGCCTTCTTCACAGCTGTTGCAGGTGCAAAGGAGACTATATCCCTGTCTAAAAATCGTAGTTGTGCAAGGTGGTTGAATTGTAATACAAAGGCCAGGAGAGGGGTCGAATTGACCCCTGAAGAATTGTCTCTTTGATCATCTCACCTAACTATCAGAAAAGTCTTTCATTAAACTCCTTTGACATACTAGATTCCCAGCATATGTTGTCCATACTAACTTGAATAGCCAGTGAAGCTTATAAATGAATTTTCCTGAAAGCCTAGGCTTTAACTCAGTCCTTGATCACATTTTCCGCGGATTGTAGAGTTTTTATACTCGACTGTACTTTTATTTTAATCAACAGATGTACAGCCTCAACATAAGTTCCATCTGAAAATGAGTGGAACTGGGTTCAATGTGGAATCCTCCTTTGATTATTCTGAAATCAAGGACTATGTAACAGGAATTGACAGTTTTCTTGCCAAGTTTGTGAACTCGCGTGTTCTTGTCATGAAAATGATCAGATGTATGAGTTTTTTCCTTTGCAATAGGGATAGCAGTGGTGAGCGAGAATATGTTCATCTTCCTTTTGACTCAAATTGTCATTGAAATGTCACTTGCAAGTAAAAGCATTGTGAATTTGATGTCACGTTTATTGGGAGTTTGTGAAGCAATTCATATTCTTATCAGAGCCCATAAACCAAGCCTTTTTAGAGAGGGAGAAGATGAAACTCCAGTGATTTGAAAAGCTGGTCATCACATGTCATGTTACCTGATCAACTTAATATGAATAACCTCCAGCAGAGGCAAACCTAAATCTTTTTCCTAGCTAATGTTAAGTTGACCATTATTGTTTAGTATCTTTTCAGAGTAAGTTTACCTCTTAGAAGTGATTACTATGTAACTCTTCCACTTAACATCCAAGCATTACTCAGGAAACAGGGTATGGCTCTACTCAAACTATCAGGTGGAAGTTGTTAAACTGATTCAACACTGAATTCTTCTAACTAAGATAGGAGAATTAGCAATCAGATCAATCAGATCTTGGCAATTGAAGGGTCAACAAAAAAATAGTTCTTTCACCCTTCAAATATTTAAATAGTGTTACTTGTTGAATAACTTGAGTTGTTTTATCTAGATCCATGTCTTTTTTCATGTAGCAGTCATCCACTTGGTTCCTAGAAATGAGAAATTATGGATAAGAAAAGTTGATGAACATGAAAGGATCTCAACCTTCAACTACATGAGTGACCCTGCATCTGACATCATGTCTAAGAAGGAAATTGATCACATCAACAGTTTTGTTGGTTATCATCGCACAGCACCATGGCTCTTAAGTGTCCTTTGGCTTCTTTCAGAATTGGCTGTGAAACGTTTTGGTAAGATTGTGACTGGATGAGATGTAATTACAGACTGCTGAAGATTAAGCTATGTGTGATGGGAAAGAGGGAGAGAATTTTAGAGGGTTCGAGTTTCTCTTTTATGGTGTTATTGGTGAAAATGTGGACTAGTGTTGTTGTGGCTGTCTTCAGTTTCAGAATGCAACAGTGAACACCAACTTGATTTCAAGACCATTGTGCAAGTGATCATCCAATGGACCAACAAAATCTCAATTAGTTACTGAGTTTTATTTCAGGTAAGAGTGGAATAATTATGGTAAAACTATTTGTACTCAATTTTACTGCTTACACTTATTATTTATTTCTTGTACTGGCAGGGTGTCAAGGCTGAAGACCCAAGAAGTCCAAACAAGACTTCTACTTTTTTTAAAATTAAAACCGGTTTGTGTCCTTAGAATTAACTGCAAAATAGTTTTGTGCTACTTTTATGTCAATCTTCTGGCTGAAAACTAGTGTGTCAGTGCCTGGTATCATGATATAATCAGTTAATCAACAAAGTTCATGTTGTGAATTGGCCACAGTGGTTCCATTATCAACTCAGTTAGAATTTTAAAGTGATGTTGTAGATATGCTTTTGATGATTTCTTTTTCTTTTCAAAAGAATTTTGTTTTACTTTAAGGATAATCTTGGTTGAAAACTAGGAAACAGAGAATGTTTACAGGGGTTAATTTTTAAGTGTATGTACCTGTAATTTATTTTAAAAAAGTTGATAATGCGAGTTGGCCACAGTAGACCCACAATCAACTCAGTTATAATGTGGGTGTTGTAGATAGATCTACATAGGCTTTAAATTGACCTTTTCTTCGTTATCCTTTTTATGCTCAATAAATGTAAACATCACTCTTGTATATTTGTGTGAATGTACTTGAATCCTCTGCAGCAAGCACATGAACCAAAGGTTTGGTGACACTTGAACTCTTTCTTCCCCACCATCAGCATTCGTATTCTTCAACTTGTTCTCCTTTCTCTTCCTATAATGATACTGACAAGAAAAGTTTTTACGAAATTCATGAGCTTTACATTTGATACAAGGGTGATACTGTACAGAGAAACTAGAACCCAGGCTCTCTGACAGATAAAAGGGTTCACCTGCCCACTTGTGTTTGTAGCAGGCAAAGTATTGTGGGTTACTTGTTGTTGTAAGTTGGGTTAGGTAACCTTTGAGAGGGTTGTGGAGTTACCATTAAAATGCTGTGTGCAAATAGTGTTGCAAAAAAAATTTTTTTTCCCCGTGATGGCAAATAGAAAAGAGCAAGAATATGTAGTATATTCAGGTTCTGGCCCAAAATTAATGTCCTATCCCATTTCAAAGGTAAGACCAAAAGACATGATATTTGTCCACATATCTTGCACATTACTTTTTGCCATGAGCTGAGTACCTGTTCTAGAGCAATGAGTGTGCCAGCTAAAAGGTCATCAGGGCTATTACAAACATTTACTAATTACTGGGTTATTTACAAGTATAACAACAAATGAAATCATGTTGGAAACATCTCTTTGAACTGGTTCAAGCTTAAAATTATAGGAAAAGAAAGATACAACAAGATTTCTAAAAAGAAATACTTTGTTTTATTAAGTAATAACATTTTCCATTCACATAACTTACAGTTTGCATGGCAAACAGATAACAAAAATAACAGAGCAATACTATGCAAATGAATGCCAAAATACCAAGTTTAATACTGAATACATAATTATGGCTTCAGGCAATGCCAGTGAAAATTTTGAGGAGAGTCTCAAAAGCTAAAATTGTAAAGGAGAACTTGAATTCTCAGTGCAGGTAAAACAGAAACTTTCCATGATGGTGTTGTGTATATTCTTGACAACATGCATTGTATAAACATGCATAGTTTTCCTTCAGTATTGGTTAACAGCCTGACTCCTTTACATTCTAACAGCCAATAACAATGTTCACAGTAAACCAATGAAACAAATTTTGATGATTTCCTATGGCTGCTGGACAGAAAAGCATAAAACCTGTTTCTCAAACACATCTAAGAGTCAGAGTGTTTGGGCGTGGGGGCTTACTTACATTGTGTAATTGTTGTTTCCTTATCCCACCAAACCTCCATGACCCTGATATCTGGTTCTGTCCTGGTGTACCGGTTCACAAGGAAATTACCATTGTTCTTTCTTTGTTTAGGAGTCATTGGTTAGCTGTTGTGTATTGTTCGGTCTTTTGTATCGGCACTTGTGAACCGGTACACGAGGACAGAACCTGATATCTTTCTTCCAGTGGACCAATTCTTATTTATTTGACAAGTTTTCTCTTTCCTTCTTTGTGGCTCTTCAGTTGGGCCACTTTTGTACTCTTTTGTCTTAAGGGTCAGGCTGCGTTTTGTTTCAGGTTTGCATTGCTTCTACGTTAAGCACGAGAAGGATAATATGCTACATTTCTCACCAGAGTTAAAGAGATTTAAAAAATTGCCATTCTCAATACATCACTGTACATAGTCACAGCAACACGTCAGTATGTCAAAGTCTCCTACTCCTATGATAAACTGTAGGCACCAACTACAATACACACATCATAACTATCACAGTGGCCTGATGCAATCTGTCACAAAATAAACTTAAATCTAAAAGATTTTAAACAATGGACAGCAAAATGTTGCACTTGATCAACTACTTTTCATGACTTCTTTATCCTGTATTTTCCTTTCTGCAGTTGTCCTATGTACAACTTTGTTTTTGATCCATCTCCTTTCCTAACCCACACCTGAAAATCACAAATAAACAATTACTGCTGATCAGGAAAATGTCCCATATAAAAACGATAAATATTTACTCTTTAGACCCCATTGTAAACATATAAGTTATTGTCAATGATCTGCTGGCATTTCCATACAATAGCCACCAAGAGAATTAGTGAGCAATCAGGACCATTTTTCTTTACTGATCAGTTCCTTGATTCCCATAACCTTTACTTATTGTAAGATACTGATACTGTCTAACGAGAAATTTGAAGCTGATCTCTCTTGGGAGTTATGATTTAAGGGTTAACATGAAAATAATTATTATATTTAAATAGTGTTACTTGTTGAATAACTTGAGTTGTTTTATCTAGATCCATGTCTTTTTTCATGTAGCAGTCATCCACTTGGTTCCTAGAAATGAGAAATTATGGATAAGAAAAGTTGATGAACATGAAAGGATCTCAACCTTCAACTACATGAGTGACCCTGCATCTGACATCATGTCTAAGAAGGAAATTGATCACATCAACAGTTTTGTTGGTTATCATCGCACAGCACCATGGCTCTTAAGTGTCCTTTGGCTTCTTTCAGAATTGGCTGTGAAACGTTTTGGTAAGATTGTGACNATTAGTGAGCAGTCAGGACCATTTTTCTTTGCTGATCAGTTCCTTGATTCCCATAACCTTTACTTATTGTAAGATACTGATACTGTCTAACGAGAAATTTGAAGCTGATCTCTCTTGGGAGTTATGATTTAAGGGTTAACATGAAAATAATTATTTTGTATGTGAAGGACACTGGCAAAAAACACCTAAAAAAAGAAGTAGAAACAAGGAAAAATTAATTTACCAGAGTTACCTCTCCAGTGTTAATCCCTGTAACAATGGCACTAAAGCAGCAAACAGAAAATGTTTCATCATCAGGAAAAAAATACTGAAATAAGCCACGAGAATGCGAGTATAATGTTTGCCTAGTAATCTGGCTAAAACATGGTAAATCTGTACAAGTCAAAGTAGGTCTTTGACCTAACAATCATTTCTGACAACTAACACAAGATTATTTGTAGAGCAAATCAGTGCCTTGAACAAATCAAGGTGTCTTTGACCTAACTATCATTTCTGACTACTACCACAAATATTTGTTTAATAAAACAAGTGCCTTGTTATGTAAACTCAAAAAAGAAACCGAACCAGACTGAGAACTTTCAAGAACCACAATTTTATGAACTTCTGAAAAAAGGGTATGACTTGAGATAGTTACACTATCTTTTAATCAAATACCTGCAAAACAATTGTTTTCACAACATCACACTCAAATGTATGTAAATCCCCTGAAATAAAACTGTCCATAGATTTTCGTTCAAACTTGGCCTACTGAGCATTTATCATAGGAGAACTTTAATTATGAAGTAAAAAGGGGGGTGCCCACATTCATTAAGGAGCACTGAGGCTTTGAAAATGTCCCATTTTGGCATTATTTATAATGCTCATTACAAGAACACATTCCAAGTTATATTTCTGAAATAAACCAGACTCGTGATGAAAACGCCTCAAACTACAAACAGTAGTTGTGCCGTACACATATAAACTCTTTGAATTTAATTTTGACAGATAGCTGAATCCTTAGAACACTGTTAGAACCAAAATGCTCGCAATGACTACCCTAACCCTAACCCATGCACAAGCATGCAGGAATGATGTTATAAACTATGCTCAGTCAGGGATGCACAAATAAGAGGAATCGCCTCAAGTTTGATTAAGAAAGCATTTTTGGGACAACTTGATTTAATGAAGTAAGTGGAGAGTGTAAAGAAAGAGAGTTTATTTTTTGTAGGTATGTACATTTCCTTTTCCATGTTGCCAGGTCTCAATCTTTGTGAGAAAGAAAGCTGGTGAAATTACAGACTAAGTGGCATTTAAGAGAAGGGGTGTTAAATTATGTAAATAAATTATGGTCATGAATAGAAGACTAGAGTAACTTGCTTCATTTATTGTGGTGAGTGTACCAGTATCTATTGATGCACATTGACTAAATATTATTTTTTGTTTCATAGAAGATGACCTGGAAGCTGCACTTGCAAAATGTGAAGAGGTTCTTTCCTCATTTCAAATTACATCTTCCAAAAATTGGGAAACACAGTTGTCTAATTTGAGCTGTATTTGGAACAACATCAGGAAGCAGCTAATATAGGCAGTCATTAGCTGTGAGGGCCGCCCCTCTCCAGACATTTGCAGCATTTGTTTGGAAGGCAAAGTCTGTATACAATGTATATAGTGCCCAAAATAGTTTATGTGTCATTCATGTGATGAAAAGGCTCACAAGTCTTTGCCTTTTCATGACACTGATGTGTAAATGGGAACTTTTATGCTATTCTCCCAACTGTTGGAGTTGATGGAAAAGGTTATCACCAAATAATAGGTAATCTCACAATATATCCGTTTTTTTTTTAAAAAATTATTAGTATTATTTTCACTTCATATGATTAATTATACATTTTTTTTAAACCACCCTATTCAAATTGAACTTAGCATAAGCAAGTAAAGGTGGATGGAGACACATCCAACACGTATTAATTAGCATTAAAGTCATAAGGGGTTTCTTACAGAAATTTATGATGATGATGATCATGGTTATGTTATATCACAATGCCAAACAACATTTTTCGTGTACCTTTGCTCTCTTTTCCTCTGATAAGTCCTTCCCAGTCCCTAACATACCATATCAATAATCATTGTTCAAGTTGTAGAGGCTGGATTCATACAACAAGTTCCATCTTTTGGTTTCTTGATAATAGTTAATGAAAAAGGTAATAGTGTCTCTTTGCTTAAACTGTCCTGGAATTTTTACTTATTTCCTGTATATAATTATTAAGCGAATTAATAAAAGTAATATGGCTTGCTCTTTAACTCAAATTGCTTTTTGATATGTCCTTTATGGTAATCAATTAGATTGTACTGCATCATAATATGAGATTCATTTTATTAAAATTATAGTT